GGGGGGGGGGGGGGCCGACGGCGCGAGCAGAGGGAGCCGACACTGACTCTCTCATACATCATACACTGACTCACTCACACATCATGCGCTTACTCACTCACACATCATACACTGACTCGCTCAGACCATGCACTGACTCACTCACACATCATGCACTGACTCGCTCATCATGCGCTTACTCACTCACACATCATACACTGACTCGCTCACACCATGCACTGACTCACTCACACATCATGCACTGACTCGCTCATCATGCGCTTACTCGCTCACACATCATACACTCGCACAACCACTGACCCATTCACTCATCATACACAGGTTCACTCATCGTGTGCTGGCTCACTCGCACAACATACACTGACTCACTCATCATGCGCTGACTAACACATCGTGCGCTGACTTACACATCATACACTCACTCAACCTAATACGGACTCAATCATCATACGCTGACTCGCACATCATACGCTGACTCGCAAATCATACACTGACTCACTCATTATGCGCTGACTAACACATCGTACGCTGACTCACACATCATACACTCACTCAACCTAATACGGACTCAATCATCATACGCTGACTCGCAAATCATACACTGACTCACTCATTATGCGCTGACTAACACATCGTACGCTGACTCACACATCATACACTCACTCAACCTAATACGGACTCAATCATCATACGCTGACTCACACATCATACACTCACTCGCTGCTGCTGACTCACTCACACATCATACACTCACTCACACTGCTGCTGACTCACTCACACATCATACACTGACTCACTCACACTGCTGCTGACTCACTCACACATCATACACTGACTCACTCACGCTGCTGCTGACTCACTCACACATCATACACTGGGAGTGTCGTGCTGCCAGCTATGGCTGCAGGTTTTTGTCGTACGTGTTATGTATATCGTTTATTGTTCAATTTAAAATCACAGTTCCTATGATTACTGTTGTTACATTGTTTTTGTAGCTTTATTTTGGTCTGGTTGTGGTGTAATAGTTTTCTGCAATGTAGATTCATATTTAGTTTGTTGCGGTTGCACCCGACTTAAGAGCTGCATGGCTCACAGGGCTATACCTAATAAATGAAACTTGAAACTTGCCTTGTTCTGAAATGAGGGCCTGGAGCAGCGGTGGGAGTCAAAATGTGGGAGACAAAGGAGGCATGGGTGGGCGTGATCCTGGCCGCCTCACAAAGTGTGTCGTGGTGGTCTTACCAGACGCTCGCTAACAGCACACGGGGGACATTCGAACGTTGTGTCACGATGCTGCATGGCAGGCATTCAAGATTGTGGCTTAATTCACAAAAGTAGGCCACTCTGTAACCGTGTCACTGCCTAGATCCCAATAGTGAAAAACGTGCAGAGTACTCATTTTATCATCCTCAGAAGGTTTGTGGACTATCGGCAACATGTCACAGAGATTTGTACTCGTGACTTTGCGAACGTTCCAACGTCAAAAAGCCTCCCTCGGTGCTAATCTCCGCTGGGTACCCCTGCATTGGTGGAAATTTCACATTTCCATGGTTGGAGCCAGCATCTCAAACCATAGAATCACTACTGCCCCAGCTAACTTGCAAATAAAATTCCTGTAAGAACTGCTGGTGCATAACATTGCGAACTAAGGTTTGCTTTAAAAAAAAAAGGCTTGTGCTATGAATGGGCTCTCGCACATTTAAATAACGACGAGGGAATTCATTGAACTCAGTGATGACAAGGATGATGATTATTATGACGACGATGATGATGATGCCAAGAAGACAAATTATGTAGATGTTCACCGGAACCGGTTAGCAGACACTCATCACCAGCGGCAGTAACCGATGATCTCATTGGCCATTAGTGCCTCTAATTAATGAACAATCAATTTTGCAGATGAGTGCAATGACTGCACGGGGCGAACGTGCCTCCATCCCTCCTCCACCCCCCAACACATTCCTCCCCACCCCCTCAGTCAACCTCACCTCCCCGCCTGACTCAACGCAGACCAATCGTGGGACTTGGCGGGGAGTGAGCGAGGGCTCGGCCGCGATCGAACCTCTCGCGGCTCGTGATCGACGCCGCGCGCTTTAGTGGCGCGGGGGGAGGAGGTGCGGGGGAGCGAAGGCCCCGCGGCGCCGAGCGCCGCCACTGAATTAACGGCCACCAGATCCGCAAGCCAGCGAGTGCTCGGCCGTCGGGATGAATTTCCCCGTTCGCCACCCACGGTGTCCCGCTTGTGGCATCGGCACTGTGTGGGCAGGAAGAGATCTCCCGCACCCCCGGCACGTCCTCCTCCGCCGCCGATGCACGAGATCCAAGGGTAGCGACGATGGCGAGTCGTGCGTCACGAACCGCGCTGGGCATGCGATCGCCGACTGCTAGCCGCTTCGAAGGCAATGAATGGAGAGAGCCCCAGAGCCGGTGGTGCAGCACTATCTTCCGTGTTAGAAGGCTGACTTTCATAAGGTTGTCAGTCAACAACAATAAAACAAATCATTTTGTTTTATTCAAGCAAAGCCTCATTGGGTCTCGGTGTTCAGCGAGTGCCAAGAAAGGTGCTGTTGCCGTGTCACTGTGGCAGAGTGTGTGACTCACAATTGGAGGCCACGTGTTCAATTCCTGGTTATCATCTCCACGGGGCCAATACAAAGGGTCATCAATATTGGTTATTCCATGGACAGACTGGGTCTGACCATATGAATATGAAATTTCCACCAATGGCTCAGGGTCACATTGGATATTAGGGCCACACTTTGATCGTTTTAGCACGGAGATGCTTTGACTTTGACCTTGCATGGGATGCTTGGTCAATGTTGCCCACATTCGAGATAGCCTACGATTCTCTCTCGGGCGAGTGCCCCGGTGTCGAACCCAGGCTCTCCGTGGTGCTGGCTCGGAACCTCATGGCGGGGGGGGGGGGGGCTTACGCGCCAATCGCGTGGAGCTCTCGTTAACGGAGCGTGAACTCCCTGCTTGCCGCCAAAGACCCTCGCGTGAAGATGAGGTCAAAAGTCATTTGGGAAGGAGCGGACGAGTTTGAATTTAATGACTTGATAATGAAACTGACTGGAACCCTCCCCAAACAACCGCGCAAGCCGCAGCCCTACCCCCGCGACCATGCGATCTTTCCTTCCCTGCGGCCGCCCCTATTTCCACCGGCGCTGACAGAGAGACCGGCCGCCGTCAAACTCGGATGAGTAGCGCCGGTCGGGTCGCGTTAAGCGTGAACTAATTCAGGACCGTTCATTTTTTGAAATCTTTTTTTTTATGCCTTCCCACGGCGTCACGCTTGCCCGAGGCCCGCAGACGTCAAAAACCTGGGGCAGGCGCGAGAGCGTTGCGGGGCGCCGGAGGAAGCGCCGTCGTATTTCTCGCGGAGCTCCTTCGCGCCGCGATCCACGCCAGAGGGATCGGCGAGCGGTCGACTCGGCACCCCGACGGGGCGTGTCGGCCTCGGCGAGATGGGGCCGCAAATCCAAACCCAGCCCCGCGCACCCCCCCCCACCCCACCCGCCCCGAGCCGTGGACGCGAGACAGACAGAGAGACAGAGAGACGACGGAGAGATGGCGCTGGGCCGATCCGTGGGCGGAGCTGTGGCGATCAGTGCCGAGGGCCCGAGGGTGTAGAAGAAGCGACTGAGGCAATCGATTCAAAAGTATGCGGTCAAACATCGCTGATTAGCACGAAGTTCAACGTGTAATAATATCCATCATCATCATCATCTCCGCCATCATCTCCACCATCATCTCCATTGGTGGCCCTGAGATAATGATGTAAAATCAGGATATTTATAGTGGGAGCCAATATTTCCATGTAATGACAACCGTGGACCCTCCAATAAGTTACCCAGGACGGGTAAAAGGCCGAGTTGGTCCCTGACAGGCATTTGAACTTGTGACCTTTCGATTGCGAGTCGGGTGCCGTAACCGTTGTGTAGGGGACAAGAGGCTGCCATTCCCGTGTGGACTGACGGAGCCCCGGACGACGGCTTAGACCATGAGGGATGGGACAATCCTCTGCTTGGGCCACGTGTGTGTAGGTGTACCGTAAGCCTGTGTTGTGTACGGTGACGGCACATTGGCAACACTCTTGTCTCACAGCAACAAGAGGCCTGTGTTCCATTCCCGACGGGCGCCTTTCTGTGTAAAGTTTCTATGCTCTTCGGTTCTTTCGGTAAAGTCACGTAGGTATAAAATAAAATAAATCACGACGTTTCGGGCGCAACACAAGCGTCCGTCATCAGGTGGGAAAGCGATGGGCTGCTGCTGAGGCGACTGCCTTTCGATTGCGATGACGGACGCTGGTGTTGCGCCCAAAACGTCGTGATTCATTTTATTTTCTACCCACGTGACTTTACCGAAAGAACCAAAGGTTATGGATTCCTGCAGTCACGAAAGCTTCAAATCAAGATTAAAGTTTGTATGTTCTCCCTCTGTTCTGCAAAGGTTTTCTTCCGGGTTCTCTGGTTTCTCAACGCTGAAAAATGACCTGCAAATGGCCCGATTGGGATCGCACAAAACAACGTCACACCGTGCTATAAAAACTTGGCAGGACCCTCGCCAAAAAAAGAGTCTTGAGACTCAATGAGGCTTCCTGGGGCAACAAGTGTCATAATACATAGCATTTGCGCTTATGGTGTATGTGTATGTTCACACAGTAGGGAGCATAGGTGGTGGATCTGCCAGTCATCTTAATCAGTCAACTCAAGGCAGATGGGTCTGTCCGGCGAACTCCTGCCAGCGGGGCTTTGACACTGCACATGTCCTCACAGTGCACATATCCTGGCACATATCCTGGCACAAAAGCGCTGTGGTGATGTTTAGAGCTACTTGGTCGATAATTGCGCCTGTTGTTGTTTTTTGCTGTTGTGCACATACGTTTGTGTGTATACATAGATGCTTTGTGTGCGTTATGCACACGTGTGTGTACGTTGTGTATACGTGTCTATCATGCACGTGTACACATGCGTGTGTGCACGCGTGTCGTTACGCACGTGTCCGTAGTGTCCCTCGGCGGCGCAGTTGTAGCAGAAGACGCGTGCGTGGGCCCTGTCCGGCTCCACCGGCGGCCGCACGAGGGGCCCAGGTTCCACCTGAGAGCCACACCGGACGCACATCAAGGCCCGCATCGCCCACGCAACACAGGAACAACAAACCCCCCCCCCCCCCCCCCCAGACCCCACTCCACCATCCCTTCACCGGGACCCAGTCCAACTGCACTGTCACAGGTGTAATGGGTTATAGGGTCATAACGTTTATAAGCGTTGAGCGAGGTTACTGTCCTTTTTAAGAGCTTGGGGGAAAAAAAGAGACGGTCGGAGAGAATTTCGAAAGAGAAGTGTTGTGACCTGCAGCGTGGTGATTGAGTTGGTGGGTGGGTGATTGAATGGGTTGGATGAGTGAGTGGGTGAAAGAGTGAGTGGATGAGTAAGTGGATGAGTGAGTGGGTGAGTGAGTGAGTGGGTGAGTGAGTGACTGTGTGGGTGAGTCAGTGAGTGGGTGGGTGGGTGAGTGAGTGGGTGGACAGTTGAATGGGTGAGTGAGTGGGTGTGTTGCTGTGACCCGTATTGCAGTGGTTGACCACGGCGTGCATGCCGTGTGTGCTGGGCTAGGACCCATGCCCTCGATGTTCAAGTCCAGACACAAGGCAGTCCTGTGAGGTGCTACCTTTCCCCCCCACCCTCTACCCTGGAAGCCTCCTTACCCCTCTCAATCACTCCTCTAAAAGGAACCCCATTCACAAAGACGCCTTCCTCCTCATCTTCTTCTTCTGTTCTTGCTGGCTCACAAGATTTGGCTCTATCGCTTGTCCCGTGGACAGGCCTGGCAACTAGATGCCGTACAATTCCCGGCGCTCTTGGCTTTTGCAACCGATGTGTGTGTGTGTGGGGGGGGGGGGGGGTTGGGCCCCCACGGTTCATTTTGTGGTGTTAATATGAAAAAAGGTTGGCTCAAAAGAATGTGAAATAAACCCATAAAACCTGCTGAAAAAGCGTGCAGTCATCGTTTAATCCCCCGCGCCGCAGAGTGAGAATTGTTATTCTTACCCCCGAGTATTTATTAGCCTGCGTACCCACGTACTTGCTGAAACAGCATCGCGTTTCACACATACACACACACACATATACGGGGTCAAAACCGTCCAACAATTTACAAGGGTCAGGGGGCCGCACTAACGTGTGAGATTTAGGGGCTCGGAGTAACATTTCGGGCGGCAGATCATTTCGGGCGTCGCACCTCCAGCAGACGTGACCCGCTTGAGTATCGGTCACGGACAGCGTAAGCACGCAGCGTTATACACGCACGCACGCGCGGGGTAAACAAAACACCACGTCACCCTCGCGTACGTGGAGCTGAAGGGCCTATCGCTGAATTAAACATCTACACGCCGTTGTGTGGGGCTAACCTCCACCAACAATCCTCAGACGGTGCTGGATATTCCACGTTACTATGGCAAGGACTGGTTCCTTCATAGGAAGCTGGTTGGCGACTTCCCAGGTTCAATGGGCGGAGGTAACTTTACCAGCACGGAGAAATGACGACATGGTGACGCTGGAGATGATGGCAATGCCGAAGCAATGTTAAAACTTGTGACGCCGATCTGACAATGGCCCTGATCATCTGATGGAAATGCCCCATTCCGTTACCAAGAACTAGGATCTCCACAGCACCAAGTAATTTAGCAACTGTTTTAAATTTGTATTTTACCAGGTAAGGCCCACTGAGCTATGTAGCTCTTTTCAGAAGCGACGTGGCCGCAAACGATAGCCGAACGAAGTGGCTTATCGCGTGGAAATGTAGAGGAGCCAAATACTATAAACGCATGATTCTAAACGTGGAGGCAAAAAACCGGAGGACCTGGACAAAAATCCACGCGACCACGGGGAGAACATGCAAGCTCCAAACAGACAGGCGTCAAGGGTCTGGATCGACCCCACGACCTCCTGCATACCAGGCGAGGGAGTTAACATCTCGGGATAGACCCCCCACGACCTCCTGCATACCAGGCGAGGGAGTTAACATCTCGGGATAGACCCCCCACGACCTCCTGCATACCAGGCGAGGGAGTTAACATCTCGCCGCCACGGCACCCCAAGCAATGCTGTTTCATATGATAATCAACTCCACAGGGCTGGCAAGGCGGGATTTGAACCTGCGACAATGCGACTGCTCTGACCACGCGGCTGTAGCTGGCTGGACAGTGACCCCTTAACAGGTTCAAGTGGGACCAGACGCCTACATCCATTCCGGCACAGCAAGTGCAGCGCAAACAAATGTCTGGCACGGCACAAGAAACATCGCCGCACGTTGCACAAAACGATCAAGCGGAGCCATGCGGCGAGGATGAATCTGCGACGCGGAAGCCTCACTCACGAACACACACGGCTCCGTCGATGTTGCTATAGTCATCAGAAAGTAAAATGCCATGAATAGCAGCTGCGTATGTGTTGCACCATGTGGGGCGTTGTCACAACCCAGCTCATATGAGGCTACAACACCTGTATATTGTTTTGTTTTCGAGCCATTTTTTGCATTCATTATAAATAAGTGGCCATGTACAGCAGATGTATGCGTCTTTGTCTTTGTTTAGGTCAACTCAGCCTTAAATGAGTACATGGTGTCGTGTGTCATCATCAGCACTGGAGAGACAAAGGTGACCGGGCATGGTTCTGCCCACACCACCCCCTCGCGTGCCGTGCCGGCCTTCATAGGTGCTCGCTAACAGCACTTGCCCCAACAGTCTGTTAAGGCTATACGGGGGATGTTTGTCTTTGTGTCCAAAACGATGAAACGGCACTGGGAAAAGTCCGACCAATGCACCGTTATTATGATCGTTAAGGTTCAGTGTAAGGGCCTGAGGTTCAGGGGTCACTCAAGGATTGGTGTTGAAACCTGAGTTTCAGAGTCTCAAACTCATCAACCGGGCGGAGGGAGCCCGCGTGCTCAGCCTTGGTCGACGCGGCCACCGATCTCCCACCGGCGTTGGTACCCACAACGCTCGCCGCGCGCCGGGTTGGAGGGGCACGGTCGGGCTCAGCCGCCCGCGTGAACCCCGCGGGGACGGCACGCGCACGCACGCGACACCGACGGAGCCCCCGCAGCGGCGGTAGCGGGAGGAGGAGGAAGGAGGAGCGGTGGCGCATGGAGGCGCTCTGTCCGCGCCGCGTGACTCCCCGCAATGGTGACGAAGATGACGACGGCGGCTGTGGGGTCACGGCTGGGTCAATCCGAGCGAAGGGCACTCGCTAACGGCCCCCGCTATTTTTACAGGAGCCCTAATGAATGGTCAGAGTCACCTTAAAACGTCCTTCGCTGTCATCGCCCGGTCCCCCCCACCTTCCCCCAGCGATGTAAATCGTCCGGGTTTAGAATTTAGCTGAGCTTAAATTTTTAGTGCCGCGTGGAAATTTGGGATGCGCGGATAAATCACACACATTATGCTATTTTTTTTTTTTTTTACAACTCCGCGAGAAGATTATTTTAGCTTTCAACATTACAGCGGGAAAGAATGAAGAGAGGATGAAGACGTGATTGATTATGATGTGCCCATTGTAACGCGGAGTCAATTTCCACGTAATAAATAACTCGCGCTCAGCCTCTGCGGCGCTATGGAAATAAATGCAAAAATTAGGGAACGCAACGGCAACATTTACTCTCGCGTTTACGCAAAGCGAAATGCGGCGAAAATACCGTGAATTTAGCGCCGCGGCACAAATTCACTCAGTCAGTCGCTGAACGGTGAGCGAGCAGAAAATAATAACACGGGGGGGAAAGGAAAAAAAACGCAAAAGCCTCGACGTTAAACAGCCCCGTATTTGTTTTATTTTCCCCCGCAGAACGCGGGCGTTCGTTGCTCTCTTGTGATTTTTTATTTTTTAAATTAAGGTAATAATCTCGCTCGAGGGCGACGCCGTGGCCGCGCGGCTGGGGGGGGGGGGGGGTGGCGGCGGCGGTGGGGCGAGTTCTCAGAAGATCATTTCCTTGATAGGTGCCGGGCCCACCAGGTGGCTTCGCAGGAGTAATGCAAACGCAGCGTGCGCCCGCGGAATTATTCCCGTCGCCAGCCGCACAGAGTGCTGCGTTAAGCACAACGGTGGCTCCGCTCGCCTCCGTTAAGCACTGCCGGAAAATAATAATAACAACTACGACTGCTATCCGGCCAGGTGCCAACGGAGGCGGGCGGGCGTGCGCGCGCCACTTGCATTTTCGAGGTTGCGAGTTCACATCCGTGGCGGAGGTTGCCATTTCGCATCATCCCCCCACCAAAACCTCAGGGCCAATAAAATGAGTACTACTTTATGGGAAGACAACAGCGAGCGCTCCGAGGAGAGATTGGCCCATGCCATAGGAGTCAAGAAAAAAAAGTACACCTCTGGATCATTTAAAAGTGTGGAAATACTTCACCTGTGCACCAAACGGTCCCGCGCTACGGGGATTGTTTGATCGATGTCCCTTCGACGAGGGGGGGTTTCGTGTACGTGGGAAGAACCCTGGGGAAACCCACTACACAGCAGGAAACAACAGTCTGGAACCGGCACGGATGTTTCAGCCACCCACTTGCTGCACTGCCATACCCTGGCCGCCCAGCAACTCCAGTGGACTGAGAGTGTCTGGCACACGGTGATCTCCGTGCAAACCACCAACCCCGCCTGGGTCCATCATTACCAGCACTTCAGATCATGGGGCGTGGGATAAAAATGATGCCGAGGTTCTGATGGGCGGGGTGAGCGAGCGGGCGGGCGAGCGAGCGGGTGAGGTGGCGGTCGTGCCGGCAGACAGACTGGCGGGCGAGCGGTCTGGCGAGTGGCCTAGCGACCGAGCGGGCGGGCGAGCGAGCGAGCGAGCGGGCGTCAGGCAAACGGAGGCAACGGGGACGACGGCGCTTGCCCTCGTCCGGGGGCGCGAAGGTGCCAGGGAGCAGGGCCTGCTGGGGGCGCCGTGCTGTGACGGATACGAGGCTTGCCCGCTCCGTAATGATGGTCAGGCCACCTGCCCATAGCTCAGAGTTAAAGAGGCTCTTCATTCCGGTAATGAAGTAATTACCACGCGGATCACATTAGCAGTGGGAAATGCATCTTCCCTCCCCTGGCTC